CATCTCCTTTTTTGTTGTTGTTCAAAATCAGCCTCAGTCAGCTCAGCTGCCGAAATTACCTTCAAAATCTGAAGCACATTTTCCAAGAAGGAAGCCTCTCCTAGAGGGAGTTCATCAGTAATCTGTGGTCTTTTCTAGCGGATTTTAAGTTCGGACCAGAAGGCTTTCTAGGGAGCTGCCCATTATTGGCTGGAACTAATGATTTCCAGCTGAACCGAAAAGTTTCAGTAGCTGTGTGTTTATCCCTCCTTTCCTCCCACTTTGTTTTGATTTTTTTCCCCCTCCAGTTCTAAAGACATCCTGCTTTGCTTTTTTCAGAGGCTTGTGCCACCTGAAATATTAAGTGTTTTATGGTGGTGGAAGCTTTAGTCCTGAGAATTTGCTCGATCGCAGGTATAGCAGATCTAGTAAAGGGAATCTGTTTATTTCATGCAGTTCTCGCCTATCTAAAACTCGAGTCCCACAAAACTACAAAGCTTCTAGCCCAAATTCAGACACGCTCTGATCCAATCCAGCGAATCAATCCTATCTTAGCCGCCTAACGCGTTTTGGGACCCAGACAATCCGATGTGTTTGTGATTTAACGTGTGGGATGAACCCAGCGAATGGATTTGATTCAGCAAACCATGGCTAACTACAAGGGAGCCACTTGGAGGAACGCAACCTTTGGCTGCGGTCTGCCTACACTCGCGTTAAAGGGCACTATTCGGTGGGAGGGTTCTTTGAGCAAAGCGACCTAGAACTGGATTGTTTCGCTACAATATATTCCTTTTTGATATAGTACCGTAGCTTGGTTTGGAACCCCTGATGTTCGGATACAAAAACTGGACCTCGCTGGGCCTCTATACCTTGGAATGCGCTTTTAAATAATTGCGGAGCTAAATCTAAGAAGAAATCCCCCCCCCCACTTTACCTGGCGCGCGCCTCTCTGCAAACTTGGAAGTCCTCCGAAGCAATCGCCAAAGAGATGGCGACTTCCCTTCCAGGGGTGCATCAGGGCTCATTCCCTCCCTGATCTTCCTCCTCGCCTTGATTTGCCCGCCTTGGTAAAAGAAAGAAGTTGTTTTCTTTTGCCTAGGTCAGGCGAAAATTGTTTACAAGACCCAAGACGTCCCCAAAGAGGGCCCGAAGAGCTGCTGCAGGCACAAGTTCTGCAAACCCGATTTTTATTCCTTCCCTCCGAACATTTGACCCCGTTCTTCCGCATTTGTCTTCAAAATTAATAGCTAGATGGGCAGCAAATCGCATTTCCCACATTGCCACCGTCCATTACCAACTTAATGCCGAAGACGGTCGGCGTCTTGGGGTTGTTTCAAAGAAAACGTATCTAGGAAAAGCAAGTTTGGCATTTATTTGCACTTCAGGCCTTTCCTAAGCGCCTGAAAAAGCTACTTCTTCAGACTCCGCGTCGAGCATCGGCGTCACCCGCTTTCTCAGAGGCCGCCGCAAGCTTGGAAGAACTCAAAGGGGCGAAGGGACGAATTGCGGAAGTTGACGTGAGTCCGTTTCCAGCACGGCTTCAGGACCGGGCATTCATTCTTGGAAATGAGCATGCGCGAAGGATGCCATGCCGGAAATTAGCGTGGAAACAACACTTTCCATTTAAGTGGCGTTAGGGAGTGGTGGAGATCAAAAATAACCGTGAAAGTTAACCTTATGAGGGGCTAATACAGTGTTTCTCAACCTTGACAATTTTAAGGCATGTGGACTTCAACTCCCAGAATTCCACAGCCAGCAATGCTGGCTGTGGAATTCTGGGAGTTGAAGTCCACATGCCTTAAATTGTCAAGGTTGAGAAACACTGGGCTAATACAAAGGGTTATAATTATTCCTTGATACGGCCTGCTCCATGTCTTTGAATAAGGCAAATTAACTCCGCGGCATCTTAATTACCTAATGTTCCCCAGCAGCGTTAGAGCCCGGCTCCTAGAACTATGCTCTCAGAGATTAATGTCTTATACAAATGCCCCTAGGTCTGGGAGTGACTGCCAACCTAATGAAATCTGAACCATTCTGTTTAAATTGGGTGTGAATCACTTGATGATTATCATTGCTTTTTTTTTTCATTTTCAATCCTTTTGGTAGAGGTGTGAATATGATTTACGACTCCCAGAGTAAATGCAGGTAGTCCTCGGCTTTCACCAAAACTGAGCCCAAAATTTCTGTTGTTAAGTGAGATCTTTGTTAAGTGGGTTTTGCCCCATTTTATGACTTCCCTTGCCTCAGTTATTAAGTGAATCACTGCAGTTGATAAGTTAGTAACCTGGTTGTTAAGTGAATCTGATTTCCGTGTTGACTTTGCTTGCCAGAAGGTTGCAAAAGATGATCACATGACCTTAGGACACAAATATGAACCAGTTGCCAAACATCTGAATTTTGATCACATGATCATGGGGATGCTGCAAAAGTCATAACTGAAAAATGGTCATAAGTCACTTTTTCAGTGCTGTTGTAACTTTGAATGGCCACTAAATGAACTGTTGTAAGTTGTATTCTCAGTGGTACAGGTAGTCCTTAACCTATGACCACAACTGAGCCCAAAATTTCTGTTGCTAAGTGAGACACTTGTAAAGTGAGTTTTGTCCCATTTTATGACCTATCTTGCCACAGTTGTTAAGTGAATCACTGCAGTTGTTAATAACATGGTTGTTAAGTGAATCTGGTTTCCCCATTGACTTTACTTATCAGAAGGTTACAAAAGGTGATCACATGACCCTGGGACATTGCAACCATCATAAAAACAAGTCAATTATCAAGCATCTGAGTTTTGATCATGTGACCATGAGGATGCTGCAATTGTCATAAGTATGAAAAAGGTCATAAGTCACATTTTTCAGTGCCATTGTAACTTTGAATGGTCACTAAACAAACTGTTGTAAGTTGAGGACTACCTATACTTATTTTCAGGTCACTGTCCACAGGATCCCAGACCCATCTTGGCCTAGTTCTGTGTCTTCATTTTTACTGGGGACTTTAGTGAGAATTAGGACTCATGAGCTTGTCTGTAGTCAGCCCATATGAAGACAATCTTTTCTCCTTCCATTTCAAAAGTAGTGCCTTTTGCTGGGCCAAGCCATGTTTACATATCTCCCTGCTGCATTTAATTTCCTGTTTATGTCCTGTGGCGGGGAATGCCCCCTCCTTTCCGATAATTGGTGATGGCCCACCACAGCCATTTTGTCCTGGGCCACTGGACTGCCTGCCCACTTCTGAATGTGCTTCTCCACATGAACCAGTGAAAAACAGTAGCAAATGCATTGGTAGATTGGTGAAAGAATGGCCTTTTCTCTTTTTGTCAGGATCACTGATGGCGAGCCTTTTTTTGTTTTTTATTTCCAGGTAAATGGATAACAGTTCTGCCAGTTTCCCCTGGTAGTCAAGTAATAGGGAGTGTTTTATTTTACCCCTCACCTATGGGTATACATGATGGATTGAGTGTGAGGGAAAGTTAAGGGAGAGGGGCTCAAAGTCTATCAGTGGAAGCCATATGTCCTCAAAGACCCCCTCTTGGAGAGGAAAGTGTCAGGCATTCACTTGTCTGGCAGATATGGGGGCGGGGGGGGGGGACAAGGGATCCACAAACCAGGGTCCATGGTAGCCATCATGCAAATAAAGCACTTGACTGTCATGGCCGCCAAAGCTGAAGAACAAGATTTAAATCTAGACAGTAATATATAAAGCTAGCTTAATTTCCCAAGAGTTTCAGCATGAGAGGCAAGCAGCTTATGGGTGCTGTGCCAAACAGACCTTAAATTCAAAGAAATTCAGAGCCTTGGCTGCTATCTAGACTTATGTCTATTGAAATAAAAACAACATTAATCTTTTTAGGAGATTGTTTATTATTTAGGTTTGGTAGGCTAGTTTCATAATAATTCTTTAAAAATAGTTACACCTAACAAATGATGACTTGGTTCACACACACACTAATAAGGCATACTGAGTTTTGTTTGGCTTTGGCTTAGTATGTTGGGTGAAATGAGCCATGGCTTATAAACCATGTTATATGGATTAGAATTGTATGTGAACTTATTATTTATGGCATGTTTTTCAAAGGAAAATTAGAATGATGATGGTATAAAGTGAAATATAATTCCACTGCCAGCCTAGTTTACACCTAGCACCAATAAATAATGTAATTTGTTTGTTCTGGCTGTGTGAATCTAACATTTGTGATGTTAAAGTATATTTCATATGGTTTAGTTAGTCTGTGAACTCAGTAAATGTAGTTTATTCAATAAACTATGGTTAACACAATGGTTTGGCACAGTATATAAATCCAGCTATGGTATAGCTTAGCTTCTCCAGCCCTCCACTATAGTTCCCATCATTTACAGCTGACGTAAATTCTACAATTTCCATCATACTGCTAATTCTACCTAGCATTTTTTGAATGCTTAGGTCCAATCTCAAAGTGGTTTATGGGAAATTTAACCTACATCCTTTCCTATTTAGCCTATATCCCATACTGTATCCTATTGGCTTAATTTGGGATAAAGCATTTAAAGATATATGCCTCCACAAAAAGGTGGCAATAATTTGTACCTGAAACATTATATTTTTCATGGCTCCTGCAATAGAGACAGCCATGACAATTGGAGCCCCCATCTTTCTGCTCCCTCTTTAAAAAAAAACAACCTCACATATTTAAGTTGAAGCAAACAAAAATGTTCTACAAAATGAAATTATTCTTGTCCATAGATCACTTTGGAAGATTTTTTTTTTTTTTTAAATAGACTATTTCAGTGCTATATGCAGGTGGGGTAGGGAGAAAAGATCCATACTTGGCTTCAGGCTGACCGGTGATTTATATTCTGTGCCTCTAATATGCTGTCCATGAGCAAATGGTATCTCCTCCCCCCCCCCCACACACACAACATACTATTTCAGCACCTTGTACTTTTATTAAGGATGCGCGTGAGGGAGGGGTGTTATGTTGTGTCCTTTTGCAATCTGACGTTTTCTCTCTTCCTTGTTCTTTCTCCCATCCCCCTCCCTTTTAGGGAAAACAATGAAAATTCCAGTTCCAATGGCCACAATCCGCTTTCCTCCTCCCTCAACGGCAATAAGACAGTTTTGGGCAGTTCCGAAGATGAGAAAACGCCCTCCGGCACCCCGGATCATTCCTCCTCCAGCCCTGCCTTACTTCTCAATGCAAACCCAGGCTTACAACCTCTCCATAGCTTGGGCCATCCTCAGGGTCCTAGCGCCATTCCAGTTCCCAGCGCGGACCCTCTGCATCATCACAGTTTGCAAGACTCCATCCTCAACTCCATGTCTTCAAATCTGGTCGATCTCGGCTCTTAAAAATATGTGCTGAACCTACCATGCTCCCTGAACCCAGGCTCTCTTCATCTGGGTTGTCCTCTTCTTCTTCTTTTTCCCCCACTTAATTCCTCTGTTCCACAAACCAAGGATCTGAAACCTTAGAAGGATCTATAAAAATTGATCCATTGTTTCACTTTGGATCAATTGCTGAGCAGCTGACTGTTACTTTATCTGGAGCATACTGTAAATTCAGAGACATTGTAAGCTGCCCAATGACTTAAATCTTAAGAGGATGTGGTGAAACTCACTGCAGAAAAGTGGAGGATATTACTGTAGGAAGAAGGGAGGGAGGGAGGATGGGGTGGAGGTTGGTGTAAAAGCTGTTGCTTTGACAGAATGAAGGCCGGGAGTCTCAGCCCACAAAGCCTCTTGCACAAGATCCAACCCACATTTGGATTTCAACTTCTTAACATGCCTCTGTAAATGTGCCTCAACCTGATCTGCAGGGATCAATTCATGAAGCTGTTGAGAACTGAAGAGCTGAGGCCAAAGCTCCATCAATTCCAACAGGATATTGGGAACCCTAACCCCTATGGTTGCCCCCACCACCAACTGGCATCCCATGCTATACTGCTTCTAAATCTGGAGGCTTTAATAACTGGGCAACACAGATAGTTTTATCTGCTGTGAATTTGTCGAATCTTAAATCCATTTTTATTTTATTTTTATTTTTTTTGCTTGTGGCAGCAATCACTTGCCCATGTAATCGCAGAAATGTTAATGAAAGACTCTTGTCTAAGGCAGATCTGGCTCTTCAGATTTTTGCTTCTTCCCAGCCAGGATGAGTGCAGGCTGCTGGGAATTCTAGTTCAATGACATCTAGAGGGAGGCCACGGAGAGAGGCCCTTGCTACTTTCATCAGATGCGGAGGCTGATTGACAAGTTGATGGTTCCATCAGGCTTACAGCGTATTGCAGTTGGAAATAAGGAAGCCTTTTGCAAAGAATGGGATTATTATTGCTTACTTCCTGGATCAGAGTGATAGGGCAACATTTTGTTTTCATCCCAGAGCCAATCTCTTTCCTTTTTGGAGAATTCATCTAGCTTGTGAACAGCAGTTTATGAAATACTTTTTCTTGTAGGGCAGAATCAAAGGGCCTGGTAGAGAAAAAGGGAGAGTATAACATGGTTTAGTGGTTAGAGTAGAGGACTAAGACACTTGGAGAGTCAAGTTCAGATCCTCACTCAGGCATGAAGCACACTGGATAACTTTGGGCCAGTTACGCTCTCTTAGCCAGCCTACTTCACAAGGTTGTTGCGAGGATAACATTGGAGGGGAAATATCCTATATGCTCCCTTGAGTGGTTTTTTTTTGAGGGGGGGGAAGTGAGATATAAACAATATAAATAGAGAAGCCACACCTCTTAACTTATTTGAAGAGAAAAAAAAACATTTGTGATCATTGTACTATATGCCAATGCTAGCTATTCAAACGCTGTAGTAGCCACCAGTTTGTAAAAAGCTCCTGGCTTCTAAGCATGACCTCCTCCAGATAATACTATCCTCCCTTGTAGCTGATGCTATAATCAGGGGTGTCAAACTGCCGGCCCGTGGGCCGGTTGCATCATGCGGAGGCCGCGCCCACCCCAGCTCCGGCAATGTAAACAAAAGTCACGACACGTGGCGACACATCACGTGACGTGACGAGTTTGACACCCGTGCATACATGAACCTTGATTGAAGGGAAGAGGGAAACGGGCTTCTTTTGTCTTGTGTATTTCCCTACCGCTACCCACCCAAACATTTAGTTGGGGAGGACAAGGTAACATCCACAAATCACTTAAGCCAGATATCTTGCCTCCACCTAATCCAGTAGCTACAAAGGTGAGCTGCTTGACACTGCAAACATCTTCCGCCTCAGTTCTTTCATCTGCAAAATGGGAACAAAGGCGAGTTTCCCAGGAGGTTCCTGGTGAGGCACTGGGCAGCGTTTTGCACATTTTAACTTCGAGACAGCCTCTATCGCTCGTTATTATTTTTAATACTCCTACTAATAGTGTTTCCCCTTGAAGCCTGTGGGGCCAACCTACGTCAAGGTGCTTCATTATCCAGTCTTAGGCGAGCCCTGGATTTCCTCCTGGGTTTAGCCCACGCAGACCCCAGGACACCCCTTCAAACCAAGCAAGGCGAACAGCGAGCCTGATGACAGCCGTCTCTCCAGGGCTCTAGAAGCCGTCGCTGCCGCCGCCGCTCTCACTCCCCCACCCCCAAAAAAGGCAAGGACGGTTCCCTAGCCAGCCAGGCTCCCTCCAATTTTGTGTATTGTTTCTATCCTGTGAAAACCGCCTTTGGAAAGATATTTCTGCTTCTATTTTATAATAAAATCGAGACATCCAGCATAATAATGCGAGAAGTGAAGGCTTTCGTGTTTAGCCGGCCGCCGGCGCTCTGGGTTGTTTTTAAGATTTTCTCAGTGCTTAAAACAAGTCAATAACAAATTGACAAATCGCCTTGGGCAGCGCAGCCGGGCAGGGCTCTGGGGAAAGATGGTCGCAAGAAGTGGCGAAACACAACAACCAGAGCTGTGCGCGGGGTGTGGCAAAATCGCCCGCGTTTCCGCACCTCAAAAAACAACTTCGACCACGCTGCCTTTTTTGACCACTCCCTGCTCGCTTCCCGGGCCATCTTTCCCAGAATTTCTTCAAGGAAAATGAAAGATTCCCGAGGAAACGAACCCGCATCATTTAGGAAGCGGAAGTTTCCCCAAATGGGACGGGAAGAGGCTTGGCTCTTCTTCCTGGGTTGCCTCACGTCGCTGCATAACCATTTTATTGAAACTCTCCGCAATCCACAGATCGCCAGATCTGCTTCCTTCCAAATTGCAAAGCAGAGGCTTTGGTTATTTCTCTCGTCTTTGGTTATTTCTCTCGTCTTTCCTCCTTTCTGTGCTCACCACGGTTTTTTTTTTCCTGATCCCAATTTTAATACTCAAGGTCCTAGTCCTCTTTGAGCGGGGGAGGGAGGTGAACTTTATTTCTCTCCCCCACCCCACCCAAAAAGAAAAACTATTTGAAAACGATGGTGACAGTGTGGCACCTAGAGAAAGAGAGGAGAAAATGGGTCTGAAGATGTAAATTCCAATGTTGGGAAAAAAAACCAGTGAGAAATATTTGAAGGACACAGAAAAAAGGTGGGGAGTGAATGGAAAAAAGGGTATCAGGGCCCAGAGAACTGACCAATTTAGGTAGTAAAAGGTTCCATGTTTGCTCCTGCTAAGTTGGATACTGGAGTCCAGAGCCCAGCCCAGAGTTAAATGAAAAGTAGCTTCTTCAAGACCCAATGATTTCATGGAACCATCTGTGATGTTTACTACACAACAATTCAAAAATAATTCATAATGTTACTTTTCCAGGCCATTTTCTCCACTTTAGTCCTCCCACCTAGACCATCCCCAAGATTCCCTGGTGATTTCTATCCATGTTACAAGCCAGTTTGGTGTAAGGTGCTGGCCTAAAAACCAGGAATGAATTGGGTGATTTTGGTCCAGTCATTCTCTCTCAGCCCAACCCACCTCACAGGGTTGTTGTGGGGAAAACAGGAGACAAAGGAGTGTTATGTATGTTTGCTGCCTTGAGTTACTTATAAAGTAATAAAGGCAGGATAAAAATCTAATAAATAATAAATAAATACTAACCAAGTGTGACCTCACTCAGAGCGTTTCCATTCCAGCAAAAATATGCCAAAATTATTAGTGCAAGCCATATTGCAATCCTGAAGAGGTTTACATTAAATTCAGTAGGGTTGATCTCCACCAATGCAGGTATGAAATTTCCATTTGATAAAAATAAATGGTACTTTTGTCATACATAGGACGTAGAGACCTGACCTCTGCTATCAGCCAAAATGTTTTCAGTCATGAATGAAACTTTTCCCATGGATTAAAACATGAGCCCTTGTGTTGCCAAAGAAACTGGCAAGACTCACCCTTGGTGATCATGATGGTAAGATTGAAGGTCAGTTTTTAATTTTTGACTATGGTTTTTGCTTTAGCACAGTTCCACAGCCATTCCCTGAACTAGGATTGCTCCTGACCTTGCAAAAATAAGCTGGGCCTATTCTGAAAAATAGTGTGGAATGAGGCCAAATATGATTTCCTTCCATTTCCCATTATATTTAATTGTAAATAAATGTGCTCTCCAATCACCAATTTTATTGTTTCTTCCTTTATCAAACAAAACCTTACAATTTGATAATGATTTCTAGAGATGTGGTGCAGGCTGGTTCAGTTGTTCAGACTACATGCCTGAGCAATATCTGCAAATAACTTGCAGTTTGTTTATCACTGTGGTTTATTGAACAAATGCTGATTAAGCAAACCATTAAACATCATGGCCAGTGAATCTGATCAAGAATTAGCTGGTGGCAAGGTTGATCCAAGCATTTTCCAAGTCTCAAAATGGGTATGCATATACACATGCACATGCGAGGCAGTTCACCACCACCATCCTCCCCCTTCCTGAATTAATTATTTCTTCCCTTCTTTCTTTTCCTGGAGCTTTGAAAATATAAATGTTTCAAATGGAAAAGTGATAGATAAGGAGACTTTTAAGGTTTTCATGTTGCTTTTGGTGGAAGCAGCCAGAAGTCAGTTCTGATGCCAAGTTCTTCTCCTCTGGATTAAAGTTTAAAGAAACAAAATCATCAGTGGAAAAATCACGCAGCCTAAACACAAATAGCTGTGCATGTGTGCGTGTGCGTGTGCGTGTGTGTGTGTGTGTGTCAGATGTATCTCTTGGCTCCCAAGCATGACCATCTCTGTGGGGGCAGTATATTTCAGGTTTACAGAACTTGCCTCTGCTTTTGAATAGAACTAAAGTTCCATTGGGTGGAATCTGGTCAAAAGTTGTAGAATCAAGAGATTCTGAGCCCCGGGCTGTGTTTTGAGGAACAACTGAGCAGATTTCATACACTTGCCATTCAAAGATCCACTCCTAGCTTCATACCCCTCAAGTTCTTGTGATTCTTTTGGTTGTCTGCTACTCTTACACAGTTGTGGGTAAGAAACCTAACTGATCTATTATAAATCACATCAAAATCTACTGTACTAGTATATCTAAAACTGTCTACTATCCCCTGCTCTAAA